AGACAATGAGAGCATCTTTGCAGGAGGGTGTTATTTCTTGGGTGTTCATATCCTGCACTACATGGTATTATATCCTGAAGTTGAAGATACACATAAAATAAAGAATGTACTTGCTAGTTGCCAGCAACCTTCCTTGCACTGATGAGAAACATTGGGAAAAGCAAAGCTAAGGAAAACCCAAAGCTACTTTCATGGCCCAACTGCTACTTTCATATAATAGGACAGTCATTATTTTCTTCTTCAACATATGCATGTGATCATGCAGCAAAAAGCAAGGAAAATAATGTCCATTTTATGGATGTCTGTTTGAATGTTTGTACTTAATACTAAATCAGTGTTCAGATATTTATAACAGATAAGAATTCCAGGCTAAGACTTTATTTAAGTTCAACTAGACAGAACAGATATAATGTTGTTGTCAAACATAAAAATAGGAGTTGAATTGCTTCTTTTTAGATGGATCTTTCACATTGACTTGGCCATATGGACACTGGAAAAGAAGGACAACAAATTATTATCAAATTATTTAACAGTCACTGTGGGAATGTGCATGTCTCACGGTGGGACATATCTTGGGTACTAAACAACACAATGGGGCCTTGGGTAAATAGCCCTAATTAGGGTTCAAGAACCATTTCCTAAGTATATCCTTCCAACTTCAAGAATTTTACTGTCAAACCCCCAATCTTATGAAATCTTTAGGTCCTACATTTATGCAACGCTGTCATGCATTTGATTAGGAACAGCTCGTGGCATAAGTAGGAGTATCCATAAATGTGAAGACTGACATTTAAAACTGTCTACAGTTCATTTGTGTACTGGTGTCTGGTCTTTAATGAGAACGTGGACTAGTGAAGGGAAATACTATCTTCTTGCAGGAAAAATACTCAAAGTGTTCTGTAAACAGTTGTTATCTGCTTACAATCTTAACCAGATTACAATATCACAATAGAAAAGAAAAACCCTCTAATTTCTTTTATGCTCAGAATAGAGGAAGGAATAGTCATTCACTTTGACCATTAAACACAGGTATGAGTCTCCTGAATAAGCCTACTCAGACCTGCAACACTAACTTTGGAGTAACATAGCCACACAGTCCCTTTAAACACTGACTAGAAGAAAGGGAAACAGGGAAGGACAAGGACAGGAGGGGGAGAGGGAGGAGAGGGAGATAGAGAGGAGAGGAACTACAGGAAAGTAGAGCACCAGTACTGGAGACTGCCCAGGGAAGGGGGACTGTGAAGCAGAGAGTGGACTGCAAGCTGAGGAAGTCTTATCATTTCAGCAAGATCCATGTCTCAAATGATGGGCAAATGTCTGTTTCTTAAGATAACAGGATTTCCAGGAGTTGAGCTCCAACATTTTTCTTTCTTTCTTTCTTTCTTTCTTTCTTTCTTTCTTCTCTCTCTCTCTCTCTCTCTCTCTCTCTCTCTCTCTCTCTTTTTGGAATTTTCTTCCTGCTCTCTGTGCTTGCCTAGTGAAGACAACTTCTTTCAGACTTTGTGAAAGCTTTCCTCCCAATAAAGAGTTACTCTGAATTTCAAGTCTTAGTCTTTGGAGGAGCTGATGCTTGCAATGAAACGGTACAAAATTCCATTAACTTTAAAGGTCCTGTGTTGGTACTAACAGCTTCGTTGTCCTTTGCTGAAACAGCTAGTGAAAAGCACACTCTAGGTCTATTTAGCTTTTTTATATGACTTGTTGTTCAAATAATAGGTATTTATGAAGTTACAGAAGCTCAGCAAACTGCTTGGGTAATTTGAGAACTGTTACTCACGTGTCTGCAGGCAGAACCGCAGCAGGCACCTCTCTGCAAGTGGGCCAGCCTTGTGAACACCACATACCCTGTAGCTGGGTCCACATAGCTTAGCTGGCCAGCCTGAAGAGTAATAAAACAATGTATTAATCTTTGTTAATGTTCATCATAGCTCCCTAGTAATAATTTTTTTGTCCAAAACTACTGTAAAAATAAGAGTAATACTAAATTTCTTTCCCAGTAATCTAGTGGCATTTGCAATAAAGAAGCAAATGCATTTCAATGTTATATACAATCTAACTGTATGTGATTAAAGGGAAAAACATACAGCTTGAGTAAAATGAGAAGCTGATGGAAAAACAAGAAGTCCTCTGTATGCAATAACTATGTAGCCACCTCTCTGATACTTTTCATCCTGCTTCTAGGCAATGAGCTCAATAACAAGTGATTTAGATGATTTTAAGAGCCTAAGAGGCTGAAAATGAACTCCACTCAGAAGCTGCAGTTACAATTTCAGTACTTACAATATGTGGATAATGATTTAAATCCGCAGAAAAGGTGCTAATCAAAGCCAAACAGCCCTTGCAGAAAAGCATTACCTTTGCTATTATTGAACACTCTCTATACCTTCATGATGTGTTGCTCTGCTACACAGTCCACACTATTTTCCCCTCCTCCCCAGCTCCCACTAATGCTAGCTCTAGTCTGACAGGAAACAAAGTATTGTTGGTTTAACAAGCTTGAGCAAAAGCAACTTCCAGTATACAACTTCAAGTGTCAGGGAAGCATTTTCCACCTATGCACAAGTATCACTTTAATGATGCTTCTTAGCCTCCAGATTTTAGAGGAAACTTCCCTATAAACTTTTATGTAACACCTTCATCTCCAGTAGCTCAGCATATCACTCTTGCATGTGGACTTTCATTAAAATGTGCAAGAAACATACAGCAGGTCTTTAGACATACATTTTTCTTTTTCTTTTCTGTTTTTGAGACAGGGTCTCACCATATGGCCTTGCCTGGCCTGGAACTCACTATGTCGTCCAGGCTCGCCTCAAGCTTACAGCAACATGTTGGATGAAAAGTATTACCAGCTATGCCAGACACTTTTTTTAGTCATGAGCATCTTCAACTGTTCAGTGTCATATTTAATGGCATCACTCATTATGGTTGACATTTAGACCAACTAATGTTGGTCCAAGTCTAGGTTTGCTCGAAGGCATTCCCACACAGATAGACCACAGTACTAAGAATCCAGCAAGTCTCAATGATGCTTTCAAGGGCTTCCCAAGTCCCTGGGGGGAAGGGGGGGAAGGGGGGGTCATATGACACCAGGTGCACTCAACACTATAGAATGGCCCACTTCCGGGACCTCATTTCTTTTTCTTTTCAACTTCCCATCCCCACAAAGCTCATGTTTGAAGACAAATAAACAAAACACTGCAAAGTCTTGAGCAGCCTTCACTTTTTGTAGCTTCCATGTGTTTCCTGGGGACAATTATCTGTCAAGCTGCCCCTATGTACGCGCTCTCTGCGTGTATGTGGTGCGCCTCCGAGTTTGCTGACTGACTATACACAATTGGTCCTCACTAAATGAGCCTCAGATAATGATGGCAACAAAGATGAGGCAAGCTTGACTGGGGAGCAAGCCGTCAGGTGACATGCAATCAGCAGCGGAAGAGCTATGAGGCCTAGCTGTCTTGAGGCATGGAGAAGTGCTGTGGTTTGGGAGCTCTGATTTGTGGCAAAGAGAACTATCAAACTTGTTTGAAGTTTTATGTAGGGTCTCCTGGACTGTCATGTAATCTGTGAAACCCACAATGATGAAACAGTCGTGGATTCCCCAGTGAAAGCAAGTTCCTTTCTTCCCCCATGTTGAATGAACCAGTCTTTACACGCACTGAAAACAATGAGACTTCTGGGTTTTACCTTACACGGTGACTAGTGGGGACAAACTCCATGTGTCATATTTAAAATAAGAGTATGAGCAAGAATAATCAAATACTGCCAATAATCTCTTGATGAATCTTTATTTACTTTCAACCCCTGAAAAGGTCAGCAGATTCCCAGGGCCGACTATTGTCAAGGGAGGGGTGTCAACCTTAGGAAACGGTCAAGGTTTTCCTCTCTACCTCTGTGGGTCAAACCAACCAAAATAACACTCAGTGGTCTTATCAAGAACTATCAAACAAAGAGCTTACTATACAGGTTTATGACAAATAACTTTTATATCTTATAGAACTTAGAATATAATAAATAATGCTATCTTCAAACTCTTGTAGTCTGAGTTGTCGGGAAGCTGCGGGGAGATAAGGATGGATATTAGTGGTGACAATCAATTGTCAAGTCCACAAACCAGAAGAAAAGGTTATTTAAGAATGCTTAGGGAAAAATGCAAATTTGCCCGGCAGTAATTTCCTCTGCTCACTTGGACTTGGGGACAAAGGATGAGAGGACATAAGGAAAAAATGCAAGGCATCTGTCTTGTCTTGTTTTCATTATGAAAGTCACTGCATGGCTCAGGTAGCTCAAGTTACCGTGCTCAGGCAACATATCTGTACGTTTCTGTCTCCATGTTTCCATCTTTGGTTCCTTCACACCCCTTTCCCCACCCAACACACTCACGCACTGGAGGGCGCGCGCGAGCACACACACCCCGAGACAAGCCTTTAGCTGGGACACTGATCAGAAACCGAGCGCCACTCTCACGCAAGAGTGCGGCCCGGTTTCTCGCAGGACCCTCCCAGCAGACGCACGACGCAGATCCGCCCCAGGCCGGAGGCCCTGGACCGACAACTCCTGCCCCTCCGCCCGGGGCTGCCTCCGGGGTCTAGGGGCTGAGCACGCGCAGGCGCAGAGGCCGCGGGGCAGGCAGGAGCGGGCCTCACCGCGCAGGCGGCCTCGTGCAGCCCGGCGATGTGCCGCTCGGCCGCGGTTAACTCTTGGCTCGCCGGATGCCTCGGCTCTCCTTCGGGCGCCCCCCGCGAGCCTGAACCGGAGCCGCCGCCGGCTCCTTCGGAAGCCGAGCTGAGGGTTGAGCTCGGCTGCTGGCGGAAGCCTTCAGCCCGAGGCGGTGGCCTCCCTAGCGCCGCTCTAGCCAGCGACGGGAACCCACAGGCCGCCATGGCGCCGCCACGGTGGGAGGTGTATCGACGCCGAGGAGGCGGGGCGATGGGCGGGGCGAAGAGGGAGGCGGGGCCTGTCCGGGGGAGGCACGGCTATCCTGCACTCGGCCCCTGGGCAGAGAAAAACGTACCCCGGAAGACTGGAACGAGGTGCCTTCTCCCGTTCTCTGTTCTTAAATTCTCTGCTGTATTTCTTCTGAGATAAAGGGGGAGCATTTTCATTTCCCGTCAGGCTAGGTTATAGCATAATCGTAATTATTTAAAAAAATAGAAAGTGAGCCGTGTTACTAAACACCTTCAGCCCATATAGAAAAGGCTGTGTGTTTGCTGCTTACGTGTGGAGGGAATAAAGCTGGAAGCACAAACTTGGTGACTTAGCTGGGTCACTCTAGAATGAAACTCAAGGAAAAGTCTCACGCTAAGAAAAGGTGCTGTTCACGTAGCGAAGTTTTCACGAAATCAAACCTAAAAGCCTGTCTGAAAGACAAAGTTACACCCATGCTCCTACAAAGTTAATTTGGAGGAATTAGCACAAGCCCAGGAAATAATTTCATGTGTTAATTAAATTAATACCATGCCCAGCCTGGACCGGTATCCTGGATTTCAAGAGAAGGGGTGTTGAATTAGTTAGTGATCATCTGCATAAAGAAGAGAGAAGAGACCAGAAAATGACTGAGCAAGAGAGATCTTTGTAGTGATGTAGTAGCTCTTCGAGTTGACCATGAAGTTTACACAAATTTACATGTGGGAAGATAGCATAGAACTATACACACAGTGTTCCAATATTGCATTTCTGGTTTTCCTGTTGTCGAGCATGTGAATGGGGGCTATGGATTAAACCGGGTTAGAACCTGTCTAATATATTTCCAACTCATGAATCTGAAATTATTTAAAATTTAGAACAGTAATCAATCAGAGAAATAATGGTTTCCAGATCACTGAATACAGAGAACCTTTCTTCGGTCTCTCTTTTATTCCCAATTTTAACCGTGCCCTTGATGTAGGTCTGGTGGTGTGTAGCTGTTATCCTAGTGCTCAGGAGGTGGTCGCATGAGGACTATGCGTTTGTGACCAGTCTGGGCTATATACTGAATTCCAGTCATAACGAAATCTAAGAAAAAAAAAAAACATCCTAGTTAGTCAATGCCTACAAGCATGCAAGCTGAGGGTGCACTTTGTGTTCTCACATGTTATCACTGTTTGCATTCTTTAAAATATAATCAAAGTTGAAAATACAGTTAAAAGAGACGAGAAAATATCTCACTACTAATAATTCCCAAATATTCTGGTAGTTTAATTATGATATCATTTAGATATTGAGAAAATATGTCTTCAATTTTCATTTGATCTCCATATCAAGGTTACCTTTCCTTACACCTCTTGTATGCAAAGGCCCTGCTGGGCTTGACTCCTAGCTCATTTTCGTGTGTGTTCATTTCTTTTCAGATTCTCTCTGTTCACAGTAGCCAACACTGTATGACAATGAGATTATCAAGTCCAACCTCAGAAGGTAGGTGTGGGTTTTGAATGAGAATGGCCCCCATAGTCTCATATGTTTGAATATTTGGTGCCCAGTTGGTGGAACTCTTTGGGAAAGATGAAGATGTGTGGCCATGTTGGAGGAGGTTTGCCACTAAAGGTGGGCTTCAGGGTTTAAAGTGCCCACACCATTCTCAGTTAGCTCTCTCACTGTCTCCCTGTTCCTCATGCTTGTGGATCAGATGTCAGTTCTCAGTTATTAATCTGGAGTCATGCCTGCCTGCCTCTTGCCATGCTGCACACCGTGATGATCATAGTCTATAACGCAAAAACTGTGAGGCACCAAATTAAACACGTTCTTTTATAAGTTGCCTTGGTCATGGTGTTTTGTCATGGTTCTAGAAAAGTGGGTGAGGTACTCGTGTTATTATGAAGCTATTATAGCTGGATTTTCATGTAGCTAGATTTTATAACTCTTCCCCAAATTCGGGGTGTTTATGTTGGCATTAAAACATGTATATCATGTTTGAGGGTAAATTTCAGGGAAATGCATTCCCCTATAATCCATTTACATTAATTTTTTTTTTTTGAGATAGCATTTCTCTATGCTGTCGTGGAACTCATTCTGTAGACCAGGCTGACCTCAAACTCAATCCTCCTGCCTCTGTCTCCTGAGTGCTGGGAATAAAAGCGTGTACCACCACCACCCAGCCTACATTAATTTTTAAATAGGTGTGTTAAGATTTTGGGTTGCAAGATTATACACACACATATACACACATATACCTACACACATATGTACAAACATATATACATTATACAAACTGAGACTAGTTAGAATAAAAGGACTGTTTATATAAACAATCATGGAGCATAACTGGATTTAGCACTTGAGGAATTGACCAGAGCATGGCTCTTTCCACTTTCTGTTTCAATGTTGATTTGCTGTCTACACAGTCTCTTTTCTCATTGATGGAAAGTGGCTGCAAACAGACCTTAGGGTATCATAGATTCTCATTCTTGTCTTATGAAGAAAAGCAGACCTTGCAGTGAAGCTCCAGGTGAGGAGAAGCTCCCGGCCTCCTAGAAGTTTTAGTAGTCATCATCTGTTGTGGGATATTTTGATCGTACTCAGACACTCCCATGTTGACAGGGATTTCTGTACTGCCCATTCCCAGAGCCTTTCAGTCCCAAAGAAACATACAGAGGTCTACTTTAGTTATAAACTGGCTGACCTAATAGTTCAGGTTTCTCATTAATTTCTACATTTTACTCCATAATTCTTGCCCGTGTTAGCCGTGTGGCTTGGTACCTTTATCAGCAAGGCATTCTCATCTTGCTTCCTCTGTGTCTGGATGATGACTGCAGACTGCATCTTATTTTTCCTGTTCTCATTGTCCCACCTATACTTCCTGTCTGTCTACTGGCCAATCAGTGTTTTATTAAAATATAAGTGACAGAGTACAGACCATTGTCTTCACAGCACTCCCAGGACTACCAACAAAGTTTACTTTGGATCAGAGGGCAAAGCTAGCCACTAGCTGATCAAAATTAGCCATAAAGTTTGGAGGACTGAGGACATATTGGAAGACAAAGGAAACAACAGGGAGGGGCTTAGAAAGATTCTCAGCCATTTTGGATCGAAGAAGGAGAGAGGAGGTCACTGGTTGTTCCTCTGCTGCTTCTCTGATTATTCAGGTTCTTACCCTAACATCTGACTCCCGAGCTTTTATTAATAAAGAATAATTAAATAAATGCTTCAATCATTAGTGTGAGACATAAATCTCCTTGCTTCAGGTTTCCAGATGATTTTTCAAATGACCTTTTGTATTAGTTATCCCTCCCCCATTCCCTCCTTTACCCATTCCTGTCCCTATTTAATGTGAAAGGGATCTAAATAGAGCCACCAAATAATAGGGACGACAACCACCCAACCAGACATCTTATGCTACCAAGCAAAACCTCCACTGCTAGGCATAGGTTACATTTTGTTGAATAATTGTTAAAGGGTGTCGCATGGAACCCCCTACGCATCACAGGCTATTTACAGGGCTATTGTTTTCTCTCCTGATGCTGAAGATAATGCTTACATCTTTGAACACAGAGATCAGTCTGGCGCTTAACTAGAATCTTTACCCCTACTGACTAGTGTTCATAGTACTGGAAGCCACTCTGCATGCTACCATAGGAGAGAGGTCCTGTGACCTACAACAGCAATCTGCCTGCAAGATACACTGGTGCATTAGTGGCACAAATGTTATGGAAGTAACCAACCACTTTCTGATTTCATTTAAGGCTAAGATGAAACTCATCCCTTATATTGCTAAAGTGACCAGGAACCTGAGAGTTTAGATATATCATGGGACTAGGGTGTGTGGAGAAACTTAATTCTGAAGGAAAATAACAATAAAATGACTTCTAATGACATACTGCTAAACCCATAGATCATTGCTTTGCTTAGCCCACATCAGAGAAGCCTCTTCTTGTAGTAGATGGAAATTTACACAGAGACCCACAACTACACAATGTGAAGAGTGTGAGAGACTTTAAAGCAATCATCCCTAAATGGGATGTCTTTATCGAACCCCTCCCATCAAGGCTCATGAATCCATGCAGAAGAGGAGGCAGAAGGATTTTAAGAGTCAGAGCTAATGGATTACTTCAAGGAAACAGTGTCTTCCAGACACAGCAGGCTGAACTCACATGTGAACTCACAGAGACTGTGTCAGCATGCACAAGACCTATTCAGGTTCAGGCCAGATGGGTTTTCCAGCTCTGTGACAGGGAAGTGAACATGGGGTCCCACCCCCTAACCAAGCTATCTGCAACTGATACTCATGACAAAGGGAAAATGGACTCTTTCCTTTGGATGGTCCTTGGGTGAATCAACCACACTCTGGGGTAGACCTCGTGTCCAGGAGTCATTGGCCAAAACAAAATGAACTCAGTAGTATTTTTGTGAACTTTTTCTTTTGTTTTGATTCTATCTTTTTTAATCTCATTATTCTTTAGCCTGTTTGTTTTGATTTTCATTTTTATGGGGGTATCTTGTTTCTCGTGTTTTTGTTTTGAGGGGGGGGCATGAAGTTGGGTGTGTAGGGAGGTGGGGAGGAGCTGGGGGAAGGGAAACATAGTCAAAATACACTATATGAAAACATTTTAAACCCTTGCATCATAAATAGAGCACCAGAGCCTCAGATAGAAAGTGAGGCAGTTCATTTTATAACTATGTGAAAGCTGGCATCAGCTCAGACGGATGTGAGTGCTGCCTGCATGCAGAGGAGAGTTTTAAACCATAATGAAAGCAAACCCCTCCCCTCCTCTCCTCTCTAGCTAAGCAATTGGAGGGGGACGATCTTATAGACCATCTAAGTCCTACCCGCCCCTCTTTCTCTTAACCTTTGTCTTTTGCGCAAGAAAACACCCTGCATGGGCTTCAACTCTACATTTTACATCCTTTTGATTTCAAGCTTATCAAGTGTGTAACCTTGTATGCAAGCTTAGCTGTTAGTACTTTTGTATTTAGTGCTTTTAGCTTTTAAGGGCGGTACGTTTAGCAGAGTTTGGGGGGTGGGGTGTAGCTAGACTATCAGGCTTCAGTAAGGGTCTAGCATTTTCTGACTGGAGGCACTTCTGGAAATGATCATCAGGGTTTATTTCATACCATCAGCATTGTGTCCATGCTTCAGTCAGTCTTAGGAGAACAGGTTACACTTAGCTCATCAAGATTAATCTAAACCTGTGTGTAACTCCTATCGTTGTCTGAAAGTAGACTTTATTGAGTGGATACAGACCTTTAATCCCAGCACCCAGGAGGCAAAGGCAGGTGGATCTCTGTGAGTTCAAGGCCTGGTCTATAGAACAAGTTCTAGGACAGCCAGGGCGACACAGAGAAACCATGTTTTGAAAAACCAACAAGAAATTAAAAAGTGGACCTTATTAATGTTGAGGCCATAATTAACAAATATCTACTATGGTGTGACATCCAAAAACAAGATAAATTCACCAGCCTACCCAGTGATTTTAGTATTTAAATTTTTATCTTGAAATTTGTCTTCGGACCCCTTTCTTCCTCCTGGGTTGCCTCATCCAGGCTTAATGTGAGGGTTTGTGTCTGGTCTTATTTTATCCTGTTGTTCCATGTTGTATTGATGTACCTGGGAGGCCTGCTCTTTTCTGATGGGAGAAGGAGAAGAGTAGATATGGGGGAGAGAAGAAAAGGGGGGATGGGAGAAGTGGAGGGAGGGGAAGCCGTGATCGGGATGTATTGTATGAGAGAAGAATAAATAAAAATTAAAAGCAAATTTTTAACTGTTCCTCTGGCTTACTCTGGTTGTACTTCCTTGACCCCTCATTTATTATACATGCCCTTTTGGTTTTGGCATTGCATGCTCAAAACACTCCCAACAATAGGAAGCCTGCCTTTTCTGTCTTCTCGTCTCTAGAGCCCACCATGCACTTTTGCGTGTAAGACTTTGAAACAGTAACGGCTAGAAGACCCATTGCTGCATAATTAAGTCGTTGTCTTGCTCCTAAACACTGGTCAGAAATGCCATCTGGAATTGTAAATCATCTACACATAATATTACACATTTGAACAAATACATATTACCTGCTGTAAATAAATGCTTTTTAAAAACTTAAGCAGAATGGTTTACTAAATCTGAAATCTTGCTAAGTAACTGGGTTATTTCAGTGACACTACACATGCATACATTATCATAGATCTGACCTGAGCCCCTAAATTATTGCCTCTTCAAGTGATGTTTTTAATTATGAATTTATCGAGCTGTGAGTGGACAATTAGCGCCGGAACACAGAGCTAGTAACACTCTTCTTGTCCACATACTGCCTGTTATAGTCAGTTATTTTGGATGCTGAGTTATGAACTTAGTGTTTTTCAAATAGCTGGATGGTGTGTTATGACATGACATGCCAGATGCAGTTGCATCTTCACTATCAATTCCTATGATTGAGAGCAAATGTTACACGCCCCTGAGGTTGCCTCTGGGACTCTCTTTCCTTTCTTCCCCCCCATTTAATCAGAGATTGAATAGCACACGTTGTTTCACAGAGCTGGTCTCAGAAAATTCTTCAGGGAATTCTAGCCATTTCTGTTCGTGAGCTCTGCTGACTTCGCAGAGGCTGCTGGTCCATCAGCATCACCTGCCTGGAGCACTGCTGCACTCAACCCATCCTTCCATAGGGTTCCTGTTATCCCTGATGAGCACAGACCAGCCACGTGACATCAAGGAATCTAGCCATTTCATTTCCCTGTCCTCCCTCCCTCTTGACTGTTGTCATGAAGAGCAGCCTGGCTTCTACCCCCATTGCATCCTTCAAGTCTCTCAGATGACTGAACTGGTCAGTTCAGTGCCCTCCTGTGGTACCCACTGGGCTGAGATACTGAACTCTACACACACGCCGTACATCAGGTTCATCACCAGGGGCTGTCAGGTTTTTTTGGGTGACATTATTGCACCTGTCCTCCCTTGGGCCCCAGCCTGTGCCTGCTCTGGTAGTCTCTCTGTCAGCTCGCTTTGCTCGTGGTTCCCAGACTTTCCTGCAAAGTGTGCACGAGTTTCTTCACAACTCCGCTAATATCCAGAGCATGACTTCATTTGCATGCTTCTCTTACATAATCTTGTTCATGAGGCTTTTCTTTCCCTGCTCCTTTACTGTCGGGCCTTCAGGGATAAATATGGTCTTGCTTACTTTTTTATGCATAGTGGCACAAACACTGAAAAAGAGCGAGAGAGAGCGAGAGAGAGAGAGAGAGAGAGAGAGAGAGAAGAAAAACTGTCCTGGCGAGGATGAATAAATAGCAGTGAAGCCTACTTGCAAATCGCATCCTCAAGAAGTAATACAAGGGCCTTTCCTTCTTATACATTATGGCTAAAAATTACCTTTGGGTTTTCCCAACGCATCAGTTTTTCTTAGGCTACTGTTTCGAGACATATTATGCAAAGATAATAAAGTAACTGTGATTTTCTTTGGCAATCTCCTTAGTAAGCTCCCCTGAAACGGTCATTGACTTAATGGTGAGTGCCGCCATGTATGGGGCCGCATTCCAAACGAAGTAAGTACATGTTGACAGCGAAGAGAAGCCTTGTTAACCCCGAACAATCATTCCAATTGTAAACTGCATGCACACAACCGCTGTCACATGGAATATCCACACTAATTACTTCTAGCCCTTCTGCTATGCAATCATTAGAAAGGAAACCTGCAACCGTGTCCATTTAGCGTGAACTGCGGAACCTCCCGAAAGAGCATTGCTAGGTTTAAGACAAAAGCAATAATTTATATATTGTTAAAAATAGATGGATTCGATGTGTGCTTTGAAATCGTCTGGATGGCACTGCTTCCCGGGCTTCCCTACACAACAGCACGCTTGTAACAGGCATCTTGGCTAAGTCCACAAATGCAGCATACAAATCAGAGAGCTGTTCTTTGCACTCTTGCTGCTGCCTGAGGGGGAAAGCATGGCCACTGTTCCATGACTGGAATGAAAGGCACACTGAGTTTCAGGTCAAATACCCATGACATTGACATGTACGACTAGTCTACTGAGTATGACACATGTTAATATTGTCCCAGTGTGGGAGGGAATGCTATGCCTCAGTGATCAGCCCAGCACATGTAGCCCCGCTCGGGTTTGCACAGGTATAAAGCTGCTGCACCTGCCAAACCAGTGGACTGTGCATCTCCTCTGGCAGTTCAGTTGCAGGATGGTCATGTTTGTATAATTCATTCAAGACGCCACCCACCTTAGCTGCCCTGCCTAATCGTATCTCATCATTTATTTGTTTGTGAAGGTTTGTTTATTTTAATTTCATGTGCATGAGTGTTTTGACTGTACATTATGTATGTGTACCATGCATGTGCTTGAAGAGAGCCTCAGATCCCCCGGACCTGGAGTTACAAACAGTTGTGAGCTGCCATCTAAGTGCTGGGAACTGAGTAGTGCCCTTAACCACTGCGTCTTCTCTCCCTGTTTATTTATTTCAAGACAAGGTCTCACTTTTATAGCCCAGCCTGGCCTTGAACTCTCAGTGTAGTTAGATATGACCTTGAACCTCTGTCTCCACTGGGTTACAGGTGTGCACCACCTTGCTGGATTTAATGAAGTACTAGAGGTCAAACCCAGAGACCCATGCATTCTAGGTAAGTATTGTAGCAATTGAGAATCATCCCCATATCTGATGATATGTCATTATGACACACTTTGGACAGCATACTTATGAATTAGATTGTTTCCATTACTTTATGGGGCCAATACTAAAAGGTAATTCAGAGCATCAGGACTGACTGAACACTGTAGAATATGTGAGTTCTGAAACTGACAACTATTTGAATTGTGTAATGTGTAATTGCAAATTGGATTTGCAATTGTGTAATGTCATCCACCAGATCTAAAGTCTGTGATTAATAATAACAATATGTTCATTCTGCCTACAATTTTACTCTGAATTTAATAACGGTGACTAAGTTGTGTGTGGTGACCCATACCTTTAATTTCATCACCCAGAGACAGTAGCAGGCAGACATCTTTAAGTTTGAGGCCAGCCTGATCTATGTAGCAAATTTCAAGCCAGTCAAGGCTGCAAAGTGAGACCCTGCCTAAAAAACAAAGAGAGAGAGAGAAAGAGAAAGAGAGAGAGAGAGAGAGAGAGAGAGAGAGAATAAATAAGTACCTAAGTCATAGCCAATGAATAAGTTCTTGAGTGCTAGCATGGCAGGTGGAAAATGTAATTGTTGAAGCGTTGAACACCTACCGTCTCAACCTGGGACACGATTATTTCAACTCTGTAGAGTGTGATCCCTCCTCTGCGAAATGTGACAAATGTCTGAACTTTGAGCTATTGTGAGATTAAACGAGATAGCATGTAAACATCCAGGAGTGTGCCGGGCACACACTGCGTTGCTGTTATTACTGCACTGGAAAACCCATTTCTGTGCTTTGATGCTTAATAGTTTAGCTGCCTACTTTACCACCAACCATTAAATCCGTGAGACTTAGTTTGGTTGGATGATTATCAGTTTTTATTGGCAAATGATAAACGTTTTCTATATGTGACTATTTAAACACACTTTTTTTCCATTAGTAAAAGCGTTTGTACAGTGATAATAGATTACAGTTTAGGATTTCAGATTAACTTAATTATAAGAAATTAAATTATATCATCATTTAACAAACCTATATTCGGCATGTGATAAAGCCATTTACAAAACCACTTGGTGCAGAAAAGTCTATAACAAAAGTTAAATTTTAAATGATTGGTAACAAGGGAATTGCAAATATTAATAATGAATATAAAGAAGGTCTCTACTTTTGATAGCATTGTAAATGACAACTTGCAAGGAGAGGGAGATCAGTAAAAGAGAGCTTTAATACGATATAATTTGGAAACTTTTGCTTATAAATGATAACAAAGACCACCTGTATTTACCCAAGGACATTAAGGATGGAAATGCAGCAAAGAAGAATACTTACCTGCTATGACTTAGAGCCTGGGTTCAATCACTACCACAGAAGAGGAAGGAGGGGAGGAGGAATGGGAGGATGGAGAGGGGGAGGAAAGGGGAAGAAAAAGGGAGAAGACCTTAGATGTTGATGGAGTCTTACAGAACAGGAGCTAGATATAGCATCTTGGGTTGGTTAGGTAGCTTTGTGATGGCAACATGAACAAAGTTGTTTCATCCTTCAGCTCCGATTCCCTGCTGTGTCCAAGGACATTAACCCTTATCAACCTCAGAATGCCAGTGTATGTTGTTGCCAGTTTAGGATCGTATCTAGGTAAGACAGTGCCCAGCGAGGGAAAACGACTAAAAATATTGTTAACTCAAAAAAAGAGATCCTGTAATATGAATTAATTTGGAGAATATTATGATACGTGTAGAATCCAACAGACCAGAACAATGATGCCTCTCACCGGAGTTTTCTAAAACGGGCAAGTCAGGTCTGCACGTAGTTCCTTAGGAAACTCAAGAAGGAAGATCACCAGAGATTAGAAGTCTGAGAATAGCCTGCACAGCACACCGAGACCTCATATGTAAACATCAAGCAAAGGAACAATGACAGATAATCAAACTGAAGAAGCAGAGAGAGGAGCAATGGTTGCCAGGGGCTGAGGAGATTGAAAAAATGGGAGGCACTAGTCAGCTTTCACGGAATTTCAGCTATGAAACATGAGAAGGTCCTAGAAGAACACCTATAGTTAATAAAATTCCACATATTTAAAAATCATTAGAGTAGATATTAAATACTTTCACTATGCAGAAAATGTGAGGTGGTGGGCACATTGCTTATGGCTTTATAATTAAAATAATCTCAAGAAAATTGTTACTTGTATATTTATGTGAAGATATTACATTGTGAATGGCAAATTCCACATATGTAAATCTGGAGGGAAAGAGGAAGGATTAGCTGTCTTGTATGTACTCATTTCTGATGCTTTTGGTGCTCATGCCTTCAGGTCACTTTCCTTTTAAGGTGATCCAGAAACTCAGGACTTTTTCTGTTTTCTTTAGTGCAACTGTTCTCATTCCCCCTTCAGGCTTGCCAAAAGATGGTTAGCTTCTATAGCCTGTGAGTGACCATGCAAGATATATCCACCATCTGTATCCAAGGGAGCTAGGAAAGGTCCCCGCTTGGCACCTCCCATTCCTGATGTACTCTGGCACTGTTTGATTTTCATACCCTTCTTATTTTCTTTTTCCTTTTCTTTCTTTCATTCTTTTTTCCCTACTTTTTGGTGTTTCAAGACAGAGTTTCACTTCATTTAATTTTTAAAGCATTTCAAGATAGGCAGCAATCACAAAACTCCACTTCACTGTGAGGGAACAGAGGATAGAAGGTATTCATGGTTTGCCCAAGGTTGATACACAGTAAAGGGTGGGGCTAGAAATGGAAGCCAATAACTCCAAATACCATGCCTTTTATCACACTATCAAATATATTAAAATGTACCAAATCACTGTGGTTATTATTTAATTTTTAAGTTAGTATACAAAGTAATAGGTTTTGTTATGTTGTTTTCATAAACAAATTTGATTTGATTTTGTTCTTATCCACCATTCTCTCCAACTCCTGCCTTCTACCCTCTCCCCACTATTGCTGGTCTCTTGCCTCTCCTCAAATCGTGCCTCTCTTTTGTATCCATGTCACATATGTTTTATTATTCTCCTTTTTTTCCTCCTTCACTCCTCCCTTAAGGTCCCTTTCTCCCCTTTCATGGTTATATCACACACACACACACACACACACACACACACACACACACACACCGTGGGAGAAGGGAAGAGAAGGAGGGGTACACATTTAAATCTAAAGTTCACTTATCAAAGAAAATATGTAATATTTGTCTTTCTAAATCTGGCTTATTTCGCCTAACAGAATACTCCAATTGCACCCATTTTCCTGAAAATGCCTGTTTCATTTTCCTTTGTGGAAGGAGGGAATTCCACTGGATTATACATTTGACAACCTCTATCTTCATTCATGGGTTGAACATCTAAGGTGGTTCGATTTCTTAGCTATTTGACTAGTACAGCAGTTAGCATGAAAGCGCAAGTGTCTTTGTCACGGGACTTAGAATCCTCTGGCTGTACACGACGGAGAGACATAGCTGGGTCACATGCTGTGATGCTTTGGTGTTTGAGGAGCCTGCACACTCATTCCACACTGGCAGCACCAGTTTATGTTCCCACTAGCACTGGGCAAAGATTCCATTCTCTTTACATCTTTGCCAGTATTTGCCACCATTTGTTTTCTTGAGGGAAAACATTTTTACTGGGGTGGGGGAACCTCAGAATTGTTTCCATTTGTATTTCCTTGATGGCTATGAGGTTGAGCAGTATTCCCAAACTTTGTTAGCCATCTCCATCTCTTCTTTGGAGAAATGTCTATTCAGTTCATTAGCTTATTAATTGATTGAGTGATTCAGTTTTTTTGTCTTAAATTATTGCTATTTTTAATATATTATATAGTACTCCTTTGTCTGCTGGTTGGCAGAGTTGTTCTCTCCACTCCATAGCTGTCACTTGACGGTGGTGATTGCTTCCTTTGTTTTGTGGAAACCTTGTCATGCCATGTGACCCCATGACTTTTTATCAAAGTTCTTGCTTATGCCTGTATATTGGGGTGTTTCCCTGTTCTTCTCTAACAGTTTCAAAGTTCAGGTATTACATTATGATTTTTGATCTATTTTGAATTTTTTCCCAAGGTGAAAGATACTGATCTAGTTTTATTCTTAAACAGGCAGATATCCAGTTTTCCCATCACCATTTGTTGAAGAGGCTGTTTTCCAATATATGTTTTTGATACTTCTGTTATGGCAACTGTGTGGGTGGTGTAAGACAATTGTCTATCTTCTGTCAATTATGATTTAAATAAACGCTGGTTGGCCAGTAGTTCAGGTGGGAAGTATAGGCGGGACAACCAGACAGGAAGTAGAGGCAGGTTAATGAGAACAGGAGAATTCTGGGAAAGAGAAAGTCCATTCCTTCCCAGTCCTGCCCAGACACAGAAGAAGGAAGAAGTGACCTGCTCTGCCGAAAAAGGTACCAAGCCATGTGGCTAACATAGATAAGAATAATGGGTTAATTAATATAAGTTATAAGAGTAATAAGAAGCTTGAGCTAATGGGCCAATCAGTTTTCTGATTAATGTAGACCTCTGTGTGATTTCTTTGAGACTTAACGATTGTGGGAACCAGGCAGGACAGAAACCCTAACATGTGGGCTTTTCCTATATTCTGTTTCATTGGTCTATAGGTCTGTGTTTGTGCAAGTACAGTGCTGATTCTGTTGCTATGGCCCTAGGGTGTAGTTTGAGATCAGACATTGTGATGCCTCCAATATTACTATTGCTACTTAGGTTGCTTTAGTTATCAAGGGGTTTTTGTTTTCATATGAATTTTAGGATCATTTTATCTGTCCTGTGAAGAATGCAATTGAAATTTTGATGAGGACTATGCCAAATATTAGATTGCTTTTGATGATGTAACCATTATTACAATGTTAATTTTGCCAATATAACCTTGGCTATCTTGGAACTCACTACATAGATCCAGCTGGCCTTGAACTCGCCGAGATTCACCTGCCTCTGCCTCACTAGTTCTGGGATTAAAAGCATGCATCACTACACCTGGATCAATTCTGCTA